GCGGCTGAAAGCTCGAAGACGGATCTGACTGAAACTCGTGTCGTCGCGGCGGCTGAAAGCTCGAGGAAGGATCTGACTGAAACTGCGTCCGAGGCGGATTAAACTGGAAGCTCCTCGATGTAGGCCGGATGGGCTGTGCTCGCTGTCGATCGGAAACCCGAAATGGGTTAGGTGCATCACGATGCTCACGTCGCTGTCTACGTGGCCTATGCTCCTGTCTGAACTGTGGCTCTGGGACGACCCAGCCCGGTGTCGGATCAGTACGCTCTGGCCAGGCAGTCATGACGGGCCCCTCATAATGGCGTTGTACAGGTACTGTCAGATCAGGGTATCTACGATCCTCAAACCCTAGAGCAGCAACCCCGGATGCCATAAAGTTGGCCAAGTCCTCACACTGGTCGGGGGTCAGCCCTCCAGACCGTACACCGTCACGCAAACTCACCTCAGCATGCTCGATAGTGTCGTACTAAAAAACACCAACAAAATGTCAGATATTTCACACAGTTAACAACAAATTAAGCAAACAAATCAAATAACTAACCAATGCCTCCGCTGCAGCTCCTCTCCGTGTGCCGGATCGTCTGGTGACATCTCTATACCACTCCATATGCTCCGAGTGGTAGGCTAACTCCTCATCAGTATATGGAGCCGTCGCTACAAACTCGTGTCGACGGTTCCAGAAAGCAATCGACTCTCTGGAGGCGTGTACCAACTGCTGCCCACGCGATGGCCCACGAGTAGCCTGGCGAAGAAAAAACCTAACCTCAGCCTCAGAATGTGGCTGATGAGGCTCATGCTGTCTCATGCCAAACTGCCGGAGCACGCGGTCTGGATGATGCCACATCACCGATGAAAAGCAGATAAGTGGCACTACTGCTCGAAATGTCTCAGACTGTAGCACACTACCTCTGAGATGAAGTGCTCTCTCAAAGTAAGGTTGCCGCTACATTAAATCCAAAAATTAACGTTATTATCCCTAAATCTAAAAAAATAAAACAAATGAAAACTATTATATAAAATGAAATGTTATATACTAACCACCACGGTGTCCATCGCGTCAAACCACAGCTTGTACTGGAATAGCTGGTCACCATACTGACGACTGTTGGCCGAAAGCCATCGAAGACCACGTGGGAATGCATCCTCAGTGGCCTGTGCCCTCGTCTCCTCGTCTCGAGGTGCCAGATGTGGGAATCGCTCCCACGCCCAAAACTGCAGTAGGGCGACCCATCCACCAAGGTCACCGCTAAGAGAAGTGCCGGTATGCGTAATGTGCAAAGTCGACCTACCCATCTCACGGTACAGGTAGGATAAAACAGCAGCTCCCCAGGCAAACCGTCCAGCTCTCTCCCAATCCTCAATCAGAAGTAGGTACTGTAGGTGCACCGTACTTCCAGACCGATCCGAGAAAAGTACACCTCCAAGCAGAGATAGAGCATAAGCTCGTGCAAACTGCTCTATAACCTCCTGTGATGCATTCTCCGGCAGATGACTGAATTCAACCCTCAGCCAAACAATCCTAACAACAGCGACACTGCCTACAAGATCGGCCGAAACTCGTCCCAACAGTCTCAAACAGATCGCCGACCACTCCTCATCCGGTATATCAACTACGACGGCATCACCGTCGATCGCCAGACCGGACAGTGTAACAACGTCCTCTAACGTGATCGTCATCTCACCACACGGTAGATGGAAGGTCGACGTCTCGGGGCGCCACCGCTCTACGAGCGCAGTAATCAAACTAGCATCGGGGTTCATAGGGACTAGGGGCACGACACTAAACAAGCCTGCCGCTTCGAGATATGGCCGATAAAGCTCATGGTAAGGTACTAAAATGGTCGTACCTCGAACATGGTACGGTCGATCACCAGCCTATAGTGCACAAAACTTATATTAATTCATTTTCATTCGTAATAATTCTAATTTCACCTAATAAATTCTAATCTGTCTTATCTAACATAAAATTATACTAATTTCACCTAACAGTTCAGTTCACTACCTAAAATAATTTAATTAGCTAATTAACTTTACATGAATAATTATCAAATACTTACCTCGTTTGTCCAAACAGAGTCGATACGATGTTGGCCGTGTCCCCAAAGAAGTGTCGGATCGACCGGACTTGGATCAATTGTCGCCGGCGGTAATCTCATCGAATAAGGATCCATAAGCCTCGGAACTGCAAAACCAAAGCAACAAAACATTAAAAAAAACACAAAACATTAAAAAAAAAAATCAAGTTGCCGACGAGAGTCTCACCGCGCAAACGGCCGCCGGCTCCACCACGACCTCGCCGACCTCTACCTCTGCCTCTGCCGGCGGCGACTGGTTCTTCGTTGGAGGACATCTCGGGCGGCGGCGGTTCAGTCCAAGGCGGCGGCGGCGGCGCTCCTCTCTGCGGCGGCGGCGCCCGAGTGTGCGGCGGCGGCGCCTGAGTCTGGGGCGGTGCTGCGGGCGGCGGGCGGCGGTTCGGGGTTGGGGTGGAGGAAGAAGAAGGAGGGAGGAGGAGGTTGGGTCTGCTGGTTCGGGGTTGTGGGGAGGAAGAAGAAGGGAGGATATGTGTGGTGGTGGGGAGGGGATAAGGTGGGAGGGGCCCGTCCAAAATTTAAAAAAAATTAGTCCGGGGCGCTCCCGCCTGAGTCTCGGGCGCCAGCGCCTCAGACTAATTAAAAAAATTTGTCTGAGGTGGGGCCGCTTGAGACTGGGGCGCTGGCGCCCAGGACTGAGTAAAAATTTAGTCCCGCCTGAGTCTCAGGTGGTCCCGCCCCAATCCTTACTAAAAACCACAATATCTCTGTAAATAGTTTTTAATTGGCCATATTCGTGGTAAATTAAAAAAAAAACCAATATTTCTGTCATTTCCCCTAAAATTGTTATAGAATCTATAATTAGTTAATTACGCTCTCTCTGAAAGCTCTGCTTTGTAGGAGTCTGCTCTTCCCCTGATGGCTACGTCGGCAGCGGTGCCGTCGGACCTCATCATCAGCTCACCTAAGCAAGAAAGCTCGATCTAGTACGAAGGAGGGTTTCTCGGCTGAAGGTTCAATGACGCTTGACCCCCACCTTTCCAGCCTTCACATGTGGTCGAGGAGTCGGGGGTCGTCCGAAAGATCTCGTATATGAAGACGGTGACAAGTACGATCCAAGAATAATCACGTAATGCAAAGGACTTTATGTCTGGCGAATCTAATAATGAGCTAGATGAAGATGATCCTGATTGCCCCTACCATTAGGGTTCGAAAAGCTACAGATAGAAGGATCCGCGAGAGGTGGGGCAAGGCCCTTATCTGTCGAATTCTTGGCAGAACATTCCCATTGTCGGTGTTAGAGAAGAAAATTCAGAACTTGTAGTCAAGGATGATAAGGGATCTTCTTAGCTCAATTTTATTCTCATTTAATTAATGTAATAAGTGGAGTAGTGGCTAGGTTGTTACCCTCTTTGTAGCAACGTGAGTTCGTCATCAATCTGAAAGAGAAACTTGGCAAAGAATCCCAAGTCAATCGCCCTGTATCCATTTACCTTCAAGCCCAACGCACTACACCCGCTGAGCTAGCCCTCATCAACACTCCGGTTTTGGATGAGGATCTCATTCTTCACATTCTTCATGGCCTTCGTGAGGAATATATCTCATCAACCGCATACCCCTCCACTTCTCTCCATGGTACCTGTCCATTCTATGCCTTGTTCAATGAAAACCCGAATTATCTTAAACTACGTGTGTTCGGCTTCTTGTGCTAACCCTTGGCTCCGTCCTTACTCGACCCACAAATTAGACCCTCGCTCTCGCCGCTGCATTTTCTTGGGGTACTCACTCAACCAAAGTGCTTATCATTGTTATGATCCACTTTCCCACCGCATTTATACCTCCCGCCACGTCCAGTTCGACGAGAGTACGTTTCCTGAGATACCCTCACCCTCTGATCCTTCCTTTGATCCGCCAGCTTGGGTTACATTCACTACTCCTCCTGTGACTATTTATTCCATTTCTTCTCCGCCAACAAACTCTCCTCCACCCACGACTTCCCCTCCTCTCCCATCTACTCCGGCTGCTCGACATCACCTCTCCTCAACTTCGGCTGCGCTCCCCGACGCCACCTCACGACAGAATCATCTCCCTCCACCGCCGGCCAAACCAGCTCATCGTCCGGTCACTCGAAGTCAACGAGGCATCTTCCGTCCTAAGCGGTTGTTTATTTCACAGGTTGCTCCTATGGAGGTTGAGCCCACTTCGGTCAAGCAAGCGCTTGCTGACCCACGTTGGAATGCGGCTATGCGCGCCGAAATCCGAGCTCCCTTATCTAATCACTCATGGTCACTTATTCCTCGACCACTTGGATTTAATATTGTTGGCTGCAGGTGGATCTTTCGCATTAAATGACGACCCGATGGCTCCATTGAGTGGTTTAAGGCTCGGTTGGTGGCCAAGGGGTTCTCTCAACAACCATGCATCGACTACCATGATACGTATAACCCGGTTCTCAAGCCTGTCACCATCCGCACAGTCTTTCCATAGCATTGTCACATCAATGGCCTATTCTGTAGTTCGACGTCAACAATGCCTTTCTACAAGGCTCTCTACTAGAGACGGTTTATATGGCCCAACCCCCTGGCTTTTGTGATCTGGCACACCCTGATCATGTCTTCTTTTTTATCTCAGAATATCTATGGCCTACGATAAGCTCCACGCTCTTGGTATCTGGCACTCTCTGGCTTTCTTGAGGAAGAATTCTTTGTCAAGTCTAAGTCGGATGCATCTTTGTTTATTTATCACAAGGTCTCTGTCAAACTTTATTTCCTGGTATACGTGGATGATCTTTTTCTTACAGGCAACGATATGTCTTCTCTTCACCAGTTCCAGGCCCGCATAGCAACTCGATTTTCACTCAAGACACTTGGCCCTGTAAACTACTTTCTTGGCATCGAAGTTATTCCGACTTTGACAGGTTATCTCCTCTCTCTAAATAAGTACGTGCATGATGTTCTCGACCGGTTCGGTATGCTAGATTGCCGCCCAGCCCCCACTCCCTTGTCGTCCTCCTCCAAGCTACTCCTCGTCGATGACTCGCCTCCCACTGACCTCTCCTTATACAAACATGATGTTGGGCCCCTGCAATACTTGCTTTGCACCCATCCCGATATAGCATTCGCCGTCAACAAGCTCTCTCAATTTATGCATGCCCCTACTCAACTTCATTGGCAACATATCAAGCGTCTGTTTTGCTACTTAAAGGGCACCTCCCACCTCGGTCTTCGTCTCGACTCCGCCTCTACTCCATCCCTTGTTGTCTTCGCTGACTCAAATTGGGCCGGTGATCCTAATGATCGCACTTCGACGATGGTCTTCCTTGTCTACTATGGCAGTAATCTCATCTCCTGGAAGTCCAAGAAACAACGCTCCGTTGCTCGCTCAAGCACCAAAGCAGAGTATTGTGCTCTCGCTCATGTCACGTCAGAGCTTCTTTGGATTCAGAATCTACTTCGTGAGCTCCATCACCCAGTTCCGTTCGTCCCGACTATCTACTGCGACAACCTCGGCGCCGTCACCTTCTCTGCCAACCCCATTCACCACTCGCGCATAAAGCATCTCGCCCTTGATTACTTGTTTGTCTGGGATCTTGTGCAGTCGAGTTCAGCATGTCCCCATGACATACCAGCTGGCCGACTCCTTGACAAAGCCACTGCCCATCACTCGCTTTCAGCTTCTTCGCTCCAAGATTGGTGTCGTACCCGCCACCATCTTGCGGGGGCGTGATAAGGAATCTTCTTAGCTCAATTTCATTCTCATTTAATTAATGTAATTAGTGGAGTAGTGGCTAGGTTGTTACCCTCTTTGTAACAACGTGGGTTCATGTTTATGTTAAGGAGATTGGTATTTAAACCATTCTCCTAATCAATACAAATCACTACACTCAATCCAATTACAAAGGAAAGGAGCAGTGGGAGTGCCAGATTTGGGCAATGGATTCTTCACAGTTTGCTTTATTACTCAACATGAGTATGATTGAGCTCTCTTTGGAGGGCTTTGGCTGCTCGGGGAACACTATATTCTGATGACAGATTGGCGGCTGGATTTCGATCCAAATTATGGTTTTATTGAGCATGCTAAGGTGTGGGTCAGGTTACCAATGGGGTATTTAGACACTTAAATTCTCTATGACATTGAAAGTCACATAGGAAATGTTGTTAAGATTTGCTACACTATGCTTTACTGCACCAGAGGCAACTATGCACGTATTATGTTGAAATTGATCTCAAGAAACGCCTGATCTCGAAGTACATATTGAAAAGAAGAGTGTGTTAGATCGAATATGAAGGTTTGCATATTGTGTTCTTTGGATGCGGAAGATATGGTCACATGAAAGAGACTTGTGCGAGGGCCGAGAGCACTGCTAACCCATCGCCGAAATTTAGCTCGAATACGAATCCAATTCTCAATTTTAAAAGGAGCACGGAGATACGACTAGAAGTGTTGGGGGAATTTGACTCATGGATGCTTGCCACCAAGCAGAGAAAGCGTACACCGGCAACAAAAGTGCAAAACAATGGTGGGAAGGGGGTTGGTCTTGTCGGCGATAGAACTCCTGCGAAAAGCATGAAACCCACCGGATCGAGATTTTTGACTTTCTGTTTAGGCGATTCAGGACGATCACTTTCTGTTGAGCGAGCACTTGCTCGGGGGTTCGAGGATTCGGTTGAAAAGTTGAGGAAGATGGAAGAAGAGGCTACGGCGGAGGGGAGAAATCGAGAGAGATAGGGAAGATGAAGAAATATATTTTCTCTTTTTTTATTTTGATTTGATTTGTTTTTTACAATTATTTTTTTATTAAAAATTTTCACATTAGCTGTTTGTCATTGCTGACTGTGTTTTCTATTAACTACTAACAGAAAACTTAACGCCTGGTATACAATTGTCATATACGTAAAATAAATGGCACTTACGCTAAAGGTATATCCAGTGGTATTAGCCCTAAAAATTTTAATTTTGTATGGTTTCACACGCTCCTAACCATTCAAACCAATTAAGAGTTGGGCATATGTCCAATATATTATATACACGTACTAAATACTTTTATATACACGTACTAAATACTTTGGACAACCTCAAGAGTCAAGCATCCCTCCATTCGAGATCCATAAAAAATATAAAGTTCATTGTTGTTCATATACTAAATTTGTTTTTTAGAGTGTAGACAACAACATATTAACACCTAATTTAGATAAGAATTATACATCATGTTGGATGGAAGCCTGAAAGCGACGAGCTTTTTTGCCATATGATAATTGCTAATAAATTAAGACAATTCACAAATGCACACCTAATTCAATAACACCAAACATTGACATGTATTTATGGTAGGTAGCTACTTCTAATGACTATAAGATATATAATTGTATTGTTGCACGTATTTATGACTTTTATGTTAAGGGTTAATTATGTGTTGATTCTTATATTTTATTCATTATTAGTTCCGCTACCACTACACACTAACCCAACTTTAGGTCAAGTGCAACCTATAATCGGGTGTAGGATAGAATAAGTATTTCAATATCAATCGGGGCGGTCTATCTACTTTTACTTCAATTGTTTACACGTTATCTAGTGATCGATTTGTAGTTACAGTTAAGGAAACTAAACAAACTAAACAAGCAATCAATTAAACTTTGGTGAATTCAAATGAGAAAGGATAAATTTGGACATTGCTCCCCCTAGTCTCGTGTTAAGACACAAATATGAAAATCTAGTGTGATAGGTAGGTTCATACACCATTAGGAGATCAAAATTAGCTACAAAGCCTATTCAAGTGCTTCCTAGCCTGCTTAATCGATTGACTAAGACATGCGTAACCTCCCTAAGAAGTTACTCCGGAAAAGACAAAAAGTTACCAATCAAGACGTATCATGGTACTTCTTTGATGATTGAGACCCGAATTAGCCTATAGAAGGTTACTTGAATTGCAAAAAGTGGGATATAAGGGGATTTCCTCCTTTTAGGTATTAGGTCAACTTGTCCCTAAATTGAGGGCTTTGATCAAGAACACCCAAATTTCATGAATAATACCTCAATCATTATATAAATCACAAAATCCAACACACATAGAGTTCAATTGCTACAATCTAACATATCCTAGACTAGGGTTCACGACATCCAAGTGAAAGAAGAGACTACTCCATAGCTAGAAGAGAAAATACACCTAGAATAGAGAAGAAAACCATGGCAAAGTGCTTCCTCCTTTTCCTAGATGCTTGATTCAACCCTTGGAAGAGAAATCCGCCTTCCAATATCATTGGGCAGGTGAAATTCTCCTTCATTCTTAACGCTCCCCCCCCTCTCTCTATACCTTAAAGAAGAAGCCACCAATGTCTCTCTAAAACTCTCCTTCCTTTTCAAATCATGCCTCTCCTTAATATAGCTCCCGAGTGCACATATCACGCCCGTGAAGTCGACAACAAAACAGTGATATTGGGCGCTAAACGCGCCATTTCACTAACGAACTTCATGGGCTGCTTGTTGACATCACGATTAGGAGACCATGATCTTAACTCTGGTCGCGAGACATCTGAATGTTCCTAGAAGTGTGCAAACTTCATGATTTGTTGGTCCACTTCACGGTCTGCGCTTTAGATAATTGCTCCACAACCGTGATCTTTGCACTTTCGACCATTTTGCTCCTTTTTCGCCCTCTTTCATCCGACTTTCGATCCTGGTGCCAATATTAACTGCTAAGGTCTGAAACATGACAAAACACGAATAAACCCCGCGTAAACTAGCTCCAAGAACTGTCAAGCACATCAAACGTCACAAGTCAAGAGGTACGAAAGTGTGTAATCTAACCCGAATCAATTATATAAATTATGGGTTAATTGCATAGTTGGTCACTCAGATTATAAAAAATGTTTATGTTTAGTTACTCGAAATATTCAAATCCATTGGTGGTACTTGAGGTTACTGAAACCGTTCACATTTGGTCACTATTCGTTAATTGTCGTCCATCTTCATTAGCGGAGTCCTTTAACTGATGACGTGGCAGACATATTCGTCTAATCAACAATATTTAACTAAAAAATATCTAGACCTAACCCGCCGTTTTAGTTAGAACCGCCTTCCTTCCTCCCGGGTTTCTCTCAATTCAGGCAGCAAAGTTCTTCAACAAAACCCCCAAAATAAATAGATATGGCAGAAGAAAATCAGGAAAAGAACTCACAGCCCATAACGGCAAAGAAGGAGATCTACCAGTGACGACCAGCCAAACCCAACCGTACCCAATCAGATTCTGGAAAAGCACCAACTAGCAAAGCACTCCAAAGCGGCAGAACCTCGCACAAGCTACCAGTCAAGAACCCTATGTTGTCCCCAAGATCCTCAGCCACTCCCAAGCTAGCTAGCTGACGTTGATTGTAGCTCAGCGAGCTCTTGATGACCGGGGATATGTTCAACAGATCGCTACAAGGATGGTGATCCAGTATGGTTGGGGACCCTGATGACAGTCCTGCAGTTTACTATACGACCAATGCGGTATTTCCAATTTTCTTTTTTTTACTAAATAGGTTGATTGGATAATTGCAAAGAACAAAATGGTGCCCCTGTCTCTTGTAAGAGGACCTGTTTGATTGGTAGAAAGTTCAAGTGCTAGTTTGCATGCTTGGTTTTGGAAGATGAACTATGTGGAATGATTGGAGGCAAACTTGCATTTGGTCATTCCCAAAAGGGAAAGGAATGGCATCATCATGTGTGCTCTTTGTTTATGTTTTTTCATTTTAATATTTTGATGTTAAATATCTTACTCTGGTGTAGGTTACTTCTTTAAGCATGGGAAATGATCATGAGCACGAGATGGCAGTTAAAGTTGAAAAGGTGTGTACAGTTTACTCGAGTTAGAAAAGTCTGGAGACAGTGGAGTAACTCACTGTCCTTGATGGTTGATATTTTGGCAGATGTATGATCTTGCATATTTTAAGGCAAAAGAGATGCTGCAGCTGTGCAGCAGAATCATAGAGTTTTAGAGAAGATTGTTGATGAATTACTTGAATTTGAGATCTTAATGGGCAAGGTACATGCTTTTTTTTTTAAATCCCAAATGACCTTGATTTAGTTGATTTCCTATGTTCTTAATAGGAATTTGATTTTCTTAGCAATAATTTTCAGCTTGGATCATGTTTTCACAGGATTTGGAAAGGATAATTGAAGAGAATGATGGGATTCGGGAGAAAGAGCCCTTTTCCCCTTTAGAGACTTATTATACAGAGGTACACTCCGAACTCTTTCCCCTAATAATGTGGGATCGTCTTCAATTAAAGTTATAGGCGAAAGTCTTTAACTTGCTTCTTCAATATAATCTTGAAAGGGAGGTCTACTTCACTGAAAACATTTAAACAAGGAAGGAATCTTCAAAGGTTGTTGATTGTTGGCTGTTGCACACTTCCGAAGGGGAAAATGCTCTTGGTAAAACTGTGTTGATTTACTAAGATGAAGAGAAGAAAATTTAAGAAAACAGCTGATGTCCCAGGAAGCAAACAGTTAATTAATGTGTAGCATCTTGGATATGTTGATCAGAAAGGGTATTGTTGATTTTGACTGATCCTCTCGGTTCATTTCCCCACGTTGTTTCAGCCGGTGTCTAGCAGCTTTCTTGAAGTTGCAAATGGTCCTGGACCTATTCTGTTAGGCTCTTCCTCCTAGGATGAAGAGAGCACCCAATTTTCTGGATTATGGAGAAGATGAGACGAACTTGTTCTCGGAGCGAGTAGTATTGG